CCGGTCACATCGCAGTCTTCTGGCAATGCCGAGCCTGCTCGGCCTGCGCGCGCGCGCCTCGCCCGAGCGCAGCCACCTGCGGACCTGGCCAGCCTGTTCCTGGCTCGTGCCCAGCCTCTCCTTCCGCTGCCGCCGGCCTCGCAGTCCCGCCAGCCATCACGCTGCAGAGCCTGCGTAGACGCCACAGACGCCAATTCTGCAGCCCACAGCCCAGGCAACTGAGGGCGAGGGCCAGCAGTATACGACGACGACCTGATTTTTTCTGGTATTTTTTTAGCACTCTCTGGTCACCTTCGCCGGGCGAGCCTGGCTCTCGCTGCACAGCGGCGCGAAAGGGGTGAGGCTGCCGATCGTCGAACTGGGCTTAGCTCTCAGTCAAGATATTGTGTCGGCCCTGAGCAGGCGCAGCATGAAGTCGCGCTGCGGGTTCTCCGGGCAGATAGCCTCCTCCCACAGCGTGGTCTTGGGATCCACGCGGGCATAGAACTGGCGGCGAGCCATGCGGCGCGCAACTCCCTTGGGCAAGGGAGAAACGGGAAAAAGAAAAATAGTTCGGAGTATGGGGACGCCTGCAATTTGACTGCATGCAATCCATGCTCCCGAGTTGTCCTGGATTCATCGCAATCACACGCAATCAACGCAATCCCAGTGGGATTGCTCTCGCGCCCACTCTCGATTGCACCTCGCCCCGTGTTTTTTTTTCAGCCTGGATTGGCCGCCGAAAAAGAAATCCACACTGGCACTCCGCGGTTTCTTTTTCCCGTCCCCTACCTTCACACTGCTGTGAACAAGTCCCGAACCCATACTGTGACCTCAGAGCATATGCTCGGTCTCTACAATATCTTGACTGAGCACCACCGATGAATCGGCAGCAGGGAGACAGGAAGGCTCGCTGTGTGAGTCGGCCACGCAGAGGTCGGAACCTGGGCCGCAAGAGACGCGGGCAGAATTCTTATTTTGAGTCACCCTCGCGCAGGGATTTTCAATGCTGTCTTCGGGTGCTGTCTTACTCGCTCTGCTCTGCTGCTGCCTCGCCCTGCTGCCGAGCTCGTCTGCGCTCGTCGCAAACCCGCGCATCGCGTCGACCGCGAGCGTGGCACGTCGCACAAGTGTGCTTGCGGCAGATGCGACAGCGGAGCGCAAAGCAAAGCTCGCAGCCTTCAACGCCGAGCAAAAGGCGAAGCGGGCTGCCGCGGCGGCAGCTCGTAACGGAGGCAGCAAGGCGGCCGCGCCCAAGCCCGCCTCTTCGCCCTTTGCTGGCCTTTTCGGCGGCGGCTCGAAGCCCGCGCCGCCGCCGCCGCCGCCGCCGTCGCCGCCAGCCTCGATGTTTGGGTTCGGCGGCGGGAAGGCGGCTCCCGCCGCAGCCAGCGGAAAACAGGCTCCGGCCAAGAGCCAGAGGGCCGGCGGGACCGGAGTGGACGAGAAGGCTCTCAAGGCGCGCAAGGCGGGCCTCGACGCGCTCAAGGTGCTCGCGCGCACCGCGCGCGAGAGGCAGGAGCGCGAAAAGTCGCCACCGCGCGCCAAGCCTCCCGCCAGGCCTCCCGCCAAGCAGAGCGGCGGGACGAGCGCCTTCTCGCTGCCGCCGCTGTCGCTCCCAGCGATCCCAACGATCCCGATGCCCGCGCCGGCAGCGCAACCTGCGCCGCCGCCGCCGCCGCCGCCGCTGCCTGCGCCGCCTGCGCTCGCGCCGCCGCCGCCGCCCGGTGCGGGCTTTGACCTCGGCGGGCTGGTCGCCACCTACTCAGAGCTCGCTGCGGTGAAGGTGCAGCTCGCATTGCTCGAGCAGCGGGACGCGCTGGCCGCCAGCGTGCAAGCCAAGGTGGAGGACGCCCGCGCGGCGCCGGCACGGCTCGCCGCCGCCGCCAGCGACCAGGCGCAGCGCGCTGCCGCCGAGGCGCAGGACCAGGCGCAGCGTGCAGTCGCCGAGGCCAAGGCCGCGCCCAGCCGCGCTGTCGCCGGCGCACGAGACGCGGTCGCTTCGGCAAAGGAGGAGGTGGCCAGCCGGGTGAAGGGGGAGCTGGCCGCGGCGGAGGCGAAGGTTCAGGGCCTCACCGACGGCGCCAAGGAGCGGCTAGGGCGCTGATCGCCGACGCGAAAAGGGGGCCTCTAGACTTCGACTGAGCGTTTATCGTTCTCGCATCTCGGGGTTTTGGATTGGCCATATGCATATCTCGCTCGTCGCGGTCGCCTGCGGCTGCGCGCGTGTGTGCGCGCGCCGCGCGCGGCGCCGACGACAATCTCGGACCGATCTCCACTGCACTCTGCAGGATCCACTGCACATGCGTTCGCGGCGTCCGGTGAGCTCATCTCGAAGCGGCGAATTGTAATAAAACGCTGTACAACACCGAGACTCTAGCTCTCTCGCGATATATCCCGCACACACGACAACATCTCTCACAACGCACCTCTC